TCTTCACCCAAGGACATATTTTTCATTAATTTTTAAAGAGAGTGAGAAAAACACATTGATTGGTTGACTCTCATATGCCCCCATCAGGAATGAAAGTATGAAACCAAGATACAAGGTACATGCTCTTGACCAAAATTGAACGTGGGACCCTAATGCTCTATCCACTGAGCAAAACTGGCTAGCTCTCTCCTGCTTTTTAAAATGTTTAAGCATAAATGTTTTATCAGATATGCCTAACAAAATAGCATGTGTTGTTCATCTCATACAAACTTGACTGTATCTTCTTAACCTCCATTTTAATTATTATTATACCCAGCAATGGAAATAATCTAGAGAGAGTCTCACAGATCAGTCATTACAACTCCCTTAAATAGAAATCTATATTTCTGTTAGTGTTAGAAACTATTTGTGTAAGCACCTTTGTTTAATGTCATTTTATTTACCAGTGTTAAAATGATATTGATATTTTTCAATTACAAAACACAGATGTCAAATTAAGTGATCTCCAAAGCCTCTTCCCAGTTTGAAAATGCAGAGTCAGATCACAGGTAAGAATGGCATACAATTTGAGGACAGTGTTATGTACAAAAATTTTATTTAGTATTTAAAATAACTCATTTTTACAATCCATATTTACTTTGTTTTATTCATCTATTATAATATTATTTCCTGAAGACATCAGTTAATAGTCAATATTTGCACATTATCTTGTCATCATACTCTATAGTCAAATTTTTTGTAATATGACTATATTTATGTAGTGAATTTATAATTAGATGAGGAAATTTAGTGTCAAATAACTCCTATAAAATTACATTTTTCAATTTTTATTAAATGCCTTTGATAAATATGTAAAGGGTGATAAATTTCTTACTGAAATAGTAAATAAAAATACAAAACATGTTTATTATTTTTTAATAACTCCATAGGCTTGATTCTGTAAATATTCAGATCCATATGCATACAGTATAAAAAATAATGGCCCTGGCACTAGAGGGTCACAGGTTTGATTCTCGGACAAGGACATGTAGCTGGGTGGCAGGTTTTAGCCCTTGCCCTCATCAGGGCATGTCAGGGAGGCAACCAATCAATGTTTCTCTCTCTCTTTCTATCCTCTTCCCCTCCATTGCTCCTTCTCATTCTCTAAAAAAACAGTGGAAAAAAATATTCTAGGGTTAACAACTACAAAAAATGATAGTAATGACTTACGAGTTTTAAAGCAACTAAATCCTTTCACAAAATTACTTTTGGCTATTCTTTAAAAAATATTTACCAGGTTAACATTCACACATAAGCACAAAAGTCAGTTAATATTTTATATATATTTTTAAAAATGTAACCATGTGGGAATCTGATGATTAAAATTTTTAAAGCATGTATCACCTTATTTTTTACTTAAAATATTAATAGAAATTAATTGTTTTAGATCAGTGGTCAGCAAACTCATTAGTCAACAGAGCCAAATATCAACAGCACAACAATTGAAAATTTTTTTGAGAGCTAAAGTTTTTAAACTTAAATTTCTTCTAATGCCACTTCTTTAAAATGGACTTGCCTAAGTCATGGTATTTTGTGGAAGAGCTCAAATGGCCAAAGAGCCACATGTGGCTCATGAGCTGCAATTTGCCAACCATGGTTTTAGGTGAATATGTTGACCTGGCAAACTAAAGAGGCAGTTTCAGAGACATTCTTTAAAGGAGCTGCTTGTGACAAACATACCATCAATTTTATGATCAAATTAAAACAGTTTCTATCAGATAAGTTTCAAACTTGCTTTTTTCCTTACTGGAATTCTTGCAACAAGCATTGGACTTAGAATCATGACTTTCAGTATTGGCTTCTATTTGGATAATAATTATTATAAAGGAAAGTCATGTGGTTAAAGAAGAATAGTTGGTTTCTATTTGGTTAATAATTGTAATTATTATAAAGGAAAATCATGTTGTGATCCTGTGAACATCTGGGAAAGAAGCACTAACACAAATATAATTTCATGTATGGGGAGAAAGAACTTAAAATGGATTGGTTAAAATAAAGACACAAACTTTTAAAGATGATTATATAATCTTTACATTTGAAGTATTAACATTCAACTATTTTATGGACAATAAAGATTCATGCCTCCTTATGTTTTGTAAACTATTACATCAAGGACCATTATTGTGTTTTATCTAAAAAGGTAGAAAAATTCATTGAGTGCTTCTGTAGGCTCTAATTATCTATACTAATGAAAGGGTAATATGCTAATTATACCAGACATCTTCTGGATGTCTTTCTTGGCAAAGCAACAGTGGCAGGGGCCAAGGCGAAGGCAGTTAGGGGAAATAAGGCTGGCAGGAGAGAATAGTTAGGGGGTGTTCAGGCTGGCAAGGAAGCAGTTAGGGGATGATCAGTCCAGCAGGGGAGCTATTAAAGGACAACCAGGCTGGGAGGGGAGCAGTTAGGGGACAATGAGGCTGGTGGGCAGATGTGGTTAGGGTGATCAGGCTGTCAAGAGAGAGCAGTGAGGGGGTGATCAGGTTGGCAGGCAGAGGTGGTTAGGGGTGATCAGGCTGGCAGGCAAGTGAGCAGTCAGGAGCTATCAGGCCAGCAGGGAAGCAGTTAGGGGACAATTAAGCAGGAAAGTAGAGGTGGTTAGGGGTGATCAGGCAGGCAGGCAGGCAGATGAGCAGTTAGAAGCCAGAGGTCCTGGATTGCAAGAGGGCTGTCCAACCGCTGTTTTAAGAGAACAGCTTGTGACAAACATGGATTGGTTAAAATAAAATTGGTTAAAATGGATTGGTTATTGATATAATTGGTATTTGGACATCCCCCATGGGGTCCTAGATAGGAGAAGGTGCAGGCCGGGCTAAAGGACCCCCCCCCCCCCTTTGTGCATGGATTTCATGCCCTGGGCCGCTAGTCTATAATAATAAAAATGTAATATGCTAATTAGACCAGACATCCTTCCTGATGACCTTCTGGACAAAGCTGGGGCTTCGAGGGCTGAGCCCCTTGCATGAATTTTATACATTGGGCCTCTAGTAACGTAAAAAGAAACATTTTAACTGTTCTTGCTTTAATAAATTCCACACTATTTGACTCTCTTGAAACTTTGCTCTAAAAATAAGATGGAATAGTTTGGGGAACACTACTTTAAAAGTAATAATTTTTTTACTGAATAACTCTACAACTCTAGTTAAATGTAACTAGAATATAATAGTGGATCACACCTTTTTTAATGACACTTTTACAGAAAACATGATAGCTTCTTTGCCTCTATTTTTAGATTGGCATCATCTGTAAAATCCTAAGGAAGTTTGACCAGTGATTAAATGATAGCTTGGTAGGACTTGATAACCTAACTGTATTTGAGAATAGACCTTTTTTCATAATTTACAAATTAAACCCTTGAGATTTATTTAGCAGTATTAACATTTTCTATTTCAATATGTTTAAATAGTTCAAGCTTAATTTTATCTATAGTACTAATGTAAGTTTTTGTGTAAGAGTAACTTTAACTTAATCTTTTGTAACATTTTTAGCTCTTTTATTTCTAATTATTCTGACTTACTACAATATTCTCATGCATAGTATTCAATTTTTCCCCTTTCACTTCATTTCTTGATATTACACAATTATATGTCTTTTTTCATCCCAGTAACTAAGAGGTTGTATAATAATTTAGATTTTCTACAGCTAGATTACAAAGGAGATATAAGATTAGAAAATTACCTTAATTTTATCTTTGTGTAATATCCTATCTACTTTGTTTGCATTATATATAATACTATGTCTGTTAAATATAGTTAATGTTTTTTATCAGGACTGTTGATCTTCTTTAGTCTAACTGTATTGAATAGCTAGGGATAAGGAGTTTACAAACCTCAATTAAGTAATATTATGGTAAATTCCCTGAACTGTTGCATATTACATTAGCAGAAATGAATGACTTTACTTATTATTAACGGATAGAGTTGTAAAATAATAAATAATGCAAAAGTAACACTTCCTGTGGTATTGGATTTAAGAAGAATTTCTAAGGCTTTTATCATTCATTGACATATGGCAAAGGAATTTCTTTCAAATGAGTCTCTTCCAGTTCTTCAGAGTTTTCATTAGTGGTATTTATCCTTCACAAAGTACTTATATAACAAATGCTAATAATAAATGAAAAAGAGAATCTCATTCAGTGTCCAAGAGCTAGCTCCAATTTTAGGGAGTATTAATTTTCATAGCAACAATATTTTTCCTGCAGAATTCTGCATGCTTAATGTACTTTTGAAACACACGCACTTGGATGGGATTATAAATTATTTTAAATTGAACGTACTATGCTTACCCTCATGTCTTCTTAAGATTCTGGGAGACAGGACACAACCAAGAAAATATGAGACTATGACTACTTTGCTAAATAGAAAAGTTTTTTTTAAGCCTTTGTTAGGAACTAATGGATTATCTAATAAAAGTTATATTAATCCCATAAGTAATGCATATGAGTAGAAAACATTAACAGATGATGAAATTTCTTATTTGATAAAAGAAGAAAAAATCTTAAAAGGAATTTAAGAAACATGTAAATGAATCTTATTTAAATATTGTGCATTTGTCATTTTTAGGAAATAAATGATTGAGCTAATTCCATGATAAAATATGTGTCATATTTTTTATCTTTTAAATTGCATGGTTATACAGAAGTTTATCTTACTATAAGAAATTCTTCTTGTGTTATTAAATATATTTTCATATTTACAACCCAAAATCTATCTTACCATATCCTATTTTGTTAAGTAATGCTAGTTCTCCAAAAGTGTATATGTTCCCAAAGTAAATTTAAAGTTTTAAGAGGATCCATTGCCTTACATTCTGATTTTACATTTTTGTCCTTTTTTTTTGCTTATTAAAACTTTAGTTGTGTTGATGAGTGCTCAGGATTCTGAGGAGCAGTTAGTCTTCCAACTAGTGAAAGACAAGAGGTAGTAGCCTCTACTTTTGTTTGCCCTTAACTATTCAATTCTCAGATATTGACCAGTGGAACAAAGTAATTGAACAACTAGGAACACCATGTCCAGAATTCATGAAGAAATTGCAACCCACAGTAAGAAATTATGTGGAGAACCGGCCTAAGTATGCAGGACTCACCTTTCCCAAGCTTTTCCCAGATTCCCTCTTCCCAGCGGATTCTGAGCACAATAAACTCAAAGGTAAGCCCACCAGGGGCACTTGAGGACCTCTATGTGGGCATTGGGCTAAACAAACAAATGGTAGAGATAACTCTCTAACGTGAACTACCTGGGTTTAAGGAGAGGTATTTCTTTTTTGTTTTAATGTATTAGAATTTTATTGTGTTGACTATACTTGAAATAAGTATTGGGTAAGGCTAGAAAATCTTTATAATAATGAGGTATCCATCATGATGGTGTCTATTGCAAGAGGAGCCAAACTGTAATACAATACAATTATGATCATGAATATAATTATGATTGTGTAAGTGTTGAGGAAATGCAGTAGGAAATTAATTAAAGACAAGTCATTCTAGGATTCCTCCAAAGGGTGCTGATTGATATCCTGATTCAGGAGAGGTATTTGTTAAAAGATCTTTCTTACAAAGGGCAAGTGATGAAGGGTTTTAGAACTGTCCGGATATCCATAGAGAAGGATAATACTGAAGTGTGCATCAGTGGTCCAGGTTAATTATTTCATGTAAAAAACTATTTTGTCATGTAACTCTAAACGACCAATGTAACATACATCAAAATTATCGTTCCAATTCTTTTTATTACCTGAAAAATATTTTCAACACAAGTTGTTTATTGTAAGATCTTAGAGAAGCAGGTGTCTGAGTTTTATTGTATTTTAGGGAATGCTTAGTCGCCCTTTTTTTTTTTTTTTTTCATTTAGAGTGACATGGGGTTTTACCTACATATTTCATATTCAATATAAACACTTTCATTCATAAGTATTCTTTCAGCTACTTTGTCTATAGCTGTGAACTTTAGTAACAAATCTTAATTTTTTCACAAAATTGGGTTAATAATACCTCAGTAGTAGGAATATAGACAAGGAATAAATTTGGCAAAGTTATAAAGTATAATATAAATAAATTTCTAATTCTATTTTTTTTAACAGGATATTTCTGAGAACATGATTTTGAAATAAATTTGATTTTTCCTTCTGCCTGGGGCTCAAATTCTGGCACAATAAATACTCAATAACGATTAGAAATAAAAATAATAAATGTAATTATTATTTAAAATAATTCTATACACTATAAAAGCACACACATACTTTTGAAATTTAGCCCCATATATTTAGGGGAGCAATGTATTAGTTACATATTTAATTTCAAGGTTTAATTTGTAACTACTATAGATTTAAATGAGACAGGGAAACTAAAATGTGGTACTATTATTTCCCAAGCTCTTATCATTTCCTCCAGACTTTCATCTGGCGGATCTTAAATGTGGAGCCTGTTTTCATCTGTGACATTACCCAGCTGCATTTCTCCCTTCAGCTGTCTCCACCAGCTCTCTGAATGGCAATAGATTAAAATCCGTGGTCGGCAAATTACAGCTCGCGAGCCACATGGAGCTCTTTGGCTCCTTGAGTGTGGCTCTTCCACAAAATAGCATGGCCTGGGTGATTATATTTTGAAGAAGTGGCGTTAGAAGAAGTTTAAGTTTAAAAAATTTGGCTTTCAAAAGAAATTTCAATCATTGTACTATTGATAAATTACTTAGTGTTCCTGGACATTACACCATCTTTTATTTTTGCAAATCTGCTAGTAGGTAAAATATATTTCATTGTTTCATTTTATGTTCCCTAATCACTTGGTGAAGTTATCTGATTTTGGGGACGAAGGTACTAGTTGATCTTTGGTTTCTTTTTTAAAAATATATATAAATACTATTTTTATTTTTGAATTATATTTTCATTGACTTAAGAGAGGAAGGGAGAGGGAGAGATATTATAGAAACATCAATGATGAGAGAGAATCATTAATCGGCTGCCTCCTCAATGCCCCCTACTGAGGATTGCGCCTGCAACCTGGGTTTGTGCTCTGAGAATTGAACTCTGATCTCCTAGTTCATAGGTCGACAATCAACCACTGAGCCACACCACTAGGCAATCATTGTTTTTCTAATTTCCTCTCCCTCCAACAAATGTCTTGGCCAAAATAAAAATTTTACTAATAATCTTTTCTCCTTCGTCATTTCAGCCAGCCAAGCCAGGGACTTGTTGTCAAAGATGCTCGTGATTGACCCAGCCAAAAGGATATCAGTGGACGAAGCCTTACAGCATCCCTACATCAACGTCTGGTATGACCCGGCCGAGGTGGAGGCGGTAAGGCCTGAGCTTCTCTTACTTTCCTTCCACAGAGAGATCATAGCGGCTGGGTGCTCAGCAGTGAAAAGTGAGAGGATTAGAAACCCAAAGAGTGCATCAAGGACCTTCATGAAATTCCCAAGTCACAAACCTATTACTTCCCCCTCTAAAAGTTTTCTTCTACTTGTGTTTTCAAATGTATTTCTTTTCCAGGATTTTCTGTGAGAGATGGTGATTTAGTCCAACAAACCTTAGCTGTCTATGAGATATTTGCATTTGTTTTTGTAAAATTGTTACCTCTTCCTTTGTGTTTAATTATCAACCTTTCCTGAGGCAAACTAAGAAGCAGAAAATGTGATAGAGGATGAGTTACTTTCCCTGTTTCCTCGGTTAAGTTGCCTTCAGTAAAGTTTAGTACTGAAAACATTTAGATTATAAAGCTTCTACCAGGCTATTGGTGGCTTTGTGAAACCTTGCCTGAATTAGATGAGAAAACTGGATATTCTTCCAATAAGGACATTATTTCAGGTTCATTCTAAAATGACTACCTCAATAAGATGTATCTCAGCATTTTAAATCTAGATATAGCATAAAAATCCCCATTGGAAGCATAACTATCTTTTCTTTCTTTCTTTAAAAAAAGAAAACTATTTTCTAGTCCTTTAATATCTTAAATCACTTTCTTACATCTTTGCCTTTCTCCTTTTTTCTGTGTGGCATCACGGCAGTACAGTGCCTTTGGGTATTTTTGCCCATGTGTGTTTTATAGGGCTAATATTGGGGATGCCCATTTGTCCCTCTTTTAAGGGTAATATCATCAATATTATCTTGCACCCAAGACATCAAAATCTCTTCAAATTCTTAGAACACCTGTACTAAATGATCTCATTTTCTTGCATATAATACCTTCAAATTGCTTTATTTGAATTAGTTCTTAATCTTCTATTTGGAATCTTCTATTTTTTGTTTTTTCTCTTGAATCCTTTCTTATACCCCAAGTTAATCTTGCTCCAGCATAGTTGCTTTGTTTCAGCTTCATTTCCTCTTCTTCATTGTGTGCTTGCCCAGGTCAGAGATGCTAGATTCAAACTGACCTAGTTCTTACCCTTTCATTCTTTTTTTAAATGTATTTTTAAAATTTATTTCAGAGAGGAATGGAGAGGGAGAGAGAGATAGAAACATCAATGAAGAGAAAGAATCATCAATTGGCTGCCTCCTACATGCCCCATACATGCCCCACACTGGGGATGGAGCCTGAAACCCTGACTGGAATCGAACCCAGACCTTTCAGTCCTGAGGCTGATGCTCTATCCACTGAGCCAAAACATCAAGGCACCCTCTCATTCTTCATTGGAGAAGTGAGATCTGATAAGTGGGAGTGAGGATTAGGTAGAATCAAATTTTATAGACATAGTATTAAACAGTACTTGGGTTACTTTTCATAGTAACCCAATCCTTAAGCAGTCACACATTTCAGAGACAACACTTCGGTGATAAATGAGTCTCCCAATTGTGGAGACAGGTGTGCAGTCCTTGATGACATTTTCTTAAGATCTGCCCTTCTCAGCAGTTTTAAAGCAGGTTTAAATCTTCAATTTGCTTCATATTAATTTTTGGTTGCTAGAGTTTTACAAAATAAAAGCCCTAAAATTAAATTCTTAAATTATAATGCTCTTAGAACTAAAAACAAAAACAAAAACTACTGTTCTTACAACTAAAAAATAGAGTCTTTTTCAATCTCTCACTCTAGGGAAAGACTTTCAAAAATGTTCTTGGGATAGAATAAAGTAATGAAATAAATAAGATAGGATATAAAGTATATATATGGGACAATTAAGTATAGTATAGAATTTTTTCTGAGATGATTTTCAAGAAAATATTTTAGGTTATGTTGATAAATTTTTGAGGCAAACATGCATTATTTGAAATTGTTGCTCCTTATTTGTTTTGGTAGTTCAAATTATGTGGCATATTTTTCTTAGATCAAGTGTAATGTGTGCAATCTGTTTTTAATGGACTGTGGCTAGTGTTTAATTGGGGTCATAAAGTCTGCATTTGTAATTCACTTGTAATTATGTTGCCTATAGAAGAGATGGTTGCTGAGAATCTATAACAGTATATTAATGAATAGTTCCAATGAGCTTTTAAACTTATTTTAATTCTTTATGAAACCTCACTTGCAGGATAAAGAGATGAAATTTGGGGTACTAAAATGGCTAGAGCCTTTTTTCAACCATGCCAATATTATCATGTTGGGGCAAGGATAGCAACATCGCAAGACTTATGAATTCTAGGAGAAGTATGTGATAGAGCCTGAAGGTCAATGAAATGGATCAATTAATAGATAGAACAAGCAAGTATTTAGCACCTTGACTAAGATCATTAGTTATACAAGGGTAAACTTTTTACATCTAGATATGTTGCAGTGAATAGGTTGGAATCCTGACCCTAGGGTTAGTTTATTGCTCTATGAAATGTATCAAGCGGTCACAAAGCAGGATGTTAGATGCAGTGATCGCTATGCTTTCTGCAATACCCTTAGAATTAGTGCCTTTGTTATTGCATGGGAATACATACTTAAAGTATGAAAACATTTCTTTATAGACACATGGCAAAGCTATAATGGAATCATATGTTTCCTGCCAGGACTGACAAGACTATTTTACAAAGTAAATTCCAGTGTGTCTCTGTAATCCAAATAAACGAAAAGTATGAAATAATCAAAATTTCCATGTTCATAAGTCATCAGAAGATCCAAGATCAGACAGCTTTTAAATAACTTACATGATTTTAGAAAGAGAAGGGAATCAAAAGATGAAATAAAAATCAGGTTCATTGGAAGTAAATAAAGCAGAGGGATAAAGGAGAAAGTGCAAAAGAATGTGATATCTTCAGAAAAAGTAGAAAGGATAGTAGAGAAACTATGTGTACTAATGTATTAATCATATTACTATCTCATCATGTTTCCAAAAGTGCCAAAGTACCAGATGAAAAGAGAAGATCATATGAATGCTGACATAACTCTGAGAGAAAATTATTCACGTAATCAGGAAGTTGAAAAATTTAAAAGTCGAATGTCAAGGTTAATAGTGATCTATCTGTGTAATAGTCCAGAAAGATTTTAAAGTTATTACTGCTCAAATTATTCACAAGTTATTATCCAAATAATATTCAGAGTAATAAAATTATGTGCCCCAAAATGAGCACAAAGACCACATACATGTCAATGTATTTCATGAAACAACTGTGGAAGGCACTCTAACTCTGCTTCAGTATTCATCAAGAGGGCAAAGACATCACACACACACACCAATGTAGAGCATTGGGTTGTGTGCATCTTCACAGCTATAAAAAAAAATGTGTTAGGTTAGGTTTAAATATCTCTTCTGCCACTTACCATCTGGTCAAATTTTTAAGCCTTTCTGCTTCTCAGTTTTTGTTGTCATTGTTCTTGTTTTTAAATTAAGATTAGGGAACAGTCCTACTTACTGCGTAGTGTTCTTCTGAGAATTTTAAGAGTTAATGTTCATAAAGTGCTTAGAGCAGTATTTGGCAGCCAGGGAAGGTCATATAAATTATTATGATTCTCATTATTATTACTATTATGACTTTTACATACAAGGCTTTACTAGCTTTTGATATTAGTAAAGATATGTATGTATATATTCAGGGAAAAAGACCAGCTGTCCATGAAACTTCAGAAATATTCTACAACATTAAAAATAATCACTGAAAATTATCTAGTTTTTATAAAATTTTAAAATGTTGCTCCTTTATCTTTTTATCTTTTTAGCTGATATATATCCACTGCTACCTTCCAAGTGTAAGAGAATCCAGTGCCATTAATTTAAATAAAGATACAGACATATGATACAGTTCATAAATCCTCATTGTAACTATTATTATGAAACTAAGGGATATTCAAGGTGGTTTGTGAGAATCAATTTAAATATTTGCCCTGTGCTCTGTTGGAGGGAAATATGGAAATAGTGAGAATTAATTGCCTTGTTTCTTACCAGATTCTTGAGTGTAGGCATCCTGTACAGTAGAAGTGGTTTTCATCTTGCAACCCCTGAGAGTAGAGATGAAGAAACCCTTTAAGAGAATTTTCACAAGCTAAGGAGGAATTGATTAACTATGTGTCCCTGCATATGAATTAAAAAGAACATGAAATGTGATTTTTTTTTTTAAAGACAGTTTTATTTGTCTCAGAAACTCTAGAACAGGCCAAGAAATTACTGAGGGCAGCAGCCTTACTAATGGTTTCTGCAGTTGTTCTGCATTGCTAGGGGTGGGTATACGAAAAGGGGAGGAAAGAGAGGGAGAGGTGTGCTCAGCCACCACGTCAAAGACATCAAAACTCCAAGCAATCATCAGACAGATGCCAGTTAAAACTTATGGGCCAAAGAAGGATGTGTCCTTACTCCTCAATTCATGACAAAAAGAAAGGATGATGACCTGATAGTAGAACTGGGAGTGTTCAGTCAGATCCACTGTTGTGTTGATGCCTTCTTGTCAGAGAGGCCCAGGAACAATCCTAAGTGGTCAAAACATTACTCTGGGAATCTGGATAGAGGGGCAGGTTGAGCCAGTTAGGCAGCTGGTAGTGAAGATTCTAGTCTTGAAAACCCAGAAAAGGGATGGCAAGTAACATAGGACCTTCTGTATTGCAGCCACGACCATGTTACAGGAGGGAATGTTAGAACAGAGGCTTGGAACATAGAGCTCCAGCTGAGAAGTAGACTGAGGAGAGAGGTTGGGCATCTTTTGGGTGGGAATAGAAGTATGTGTATCATTCTTATAGAGACTGAGGGAAAAATTGTGACTAATCCAATCTAACCATTTTAGGTGGAGCGTGATTTGGAAAGCAAGTTCCATACTGAGCTTGTTTATAATTTCTTACCTGATTCAAGATTAATTTGGGAATTGGGATATGGCTGGGTGGGACCTTAATCTAGCTGTACAGATCCTGAGGTAAACAATTTGGTCTTCACATTCCCAGTGAGAGTGTAACCCGA